TATATATATATATATATATATATATTAAGCGCGAACGCTCTATCCCCTGAGCAACTACGGAAAATTAAAAAAAAAATGTTACATTGTCTATGCATTGTTCTGAATTTTTAAATAGTCTTTATAAATTTCATATAACTTTCAACTACCACACATTTTGAATGCCTGAAGCTAAGAACAGAGATCTTGGTAATGAGTTTTAGCATGAATTCTTTTATTTATCCTTGGCAAAATGTTTACTAACACCTATAAGCGAATTTGTTTTCTTTTCATAGTCGGAAAATGCCGACGGTCCGAGCTTCATCTTCTTTTAATTGCATATTCCTTCTAAATTTCAAAATTTCAACATTTTATTTGATAAAATAATTCGCTGAATTGACTGTAAAGTGTATATTATAATGAATATCCATTCCATATTATATCTGGAAAACCAGCATCAAGAATTAAAAAAAAATGATTTCAAATTTATTATAACTATTATATATTTTCTCATTTTTATATTCTCCTTGTATTTGCTTAGCTCCATCAGTAAAAAAAAGAATTGTTGATGAATAGATTTTCAATGTAAATAAATTATGCTTTCAATAAAAATATTATCTCTCCGGTCAATCATCTTCAACTGGAATCATAAATAAAATTTTTCTAACCACAGCAAATCCTCTTATATATGCTATCGTATATTCTTAGAATAATATGCCTAATCATTTTAAAATGCTTGTGTTTGGAATCTTCAAATAAACACAAAAATTGCAGCATTCAAAAAGCCGAGCGGCAGCAACCACCAATCCTTTTTCAACTTATATATATTTCCTGGATGTATCTGCCTGTTGCCTTTCTCTGAAACGTGCAATTTGTTCTCTTCATAAAAGGCTTATAAGACTCGCTAATATAATTAACTGCACAACCCTGTATATGCATTTGTATCAATAAATTTATGAATAAATAAACACAAAAACAGAGTTTGCATTCGCAAACAGACATTGCTTACTGACTTTGTATCACGAACATGTGCCATTTCTTATGTGCATTAGACACAGGCTGAATCTCTTGCTGCTCGAGCCATATTTCCAAAAAAAAATGAGGTAATTAAATAATGCTAGTATGTATATATATATTTAGTATCTTACCAGACATTTAGTAAGATACTAAATGGCTTAGTATCTTTAGCCATTTAGTATCTTACTAAAGAGATACTAAATGGCTTGTTATGGTATTCTAATTAAAACTTGAAGTTAATCATTACTGACTGCTGTTAGTGAGCGAGTGGAAGATAACTGCGAATATAAAAAAGTGTGTGGTTCCGATCGTTGCTAAGGTGTTCCACTGAAAAATGTTGTTGAGTTAACAAAGAGGGGAATTCATCCCCTCTGCAGAGGATCAAAAATGTGGTGGCATGTCTTTGAGTACTACTAGTGCGCACTAGTGCTTACAGTAGTTTCCCTGACCGGCGCTAATAGTTCATTGTGCAGGTCTAATGAGACTCAAATAAAATACTACAACTACTAATAGTGGGCCTCTTTGGCTGAGTGGTATCACCCGCTAAACGCTCTGACGCGTTGGAGTAGCGGGTTCGAATCCCGTCGTAAGCTTGTAAGTATCTCCATGCTGTATATTTCTAAATTGCGATTGCACACGCAGATCATCAGGTCACCAAAGAGGTGCTTACATATGTTTCCCTGACCGGCGCTAATAGTTCATTGTGCAGGTCTAGTGAGACTCAAATAAAATACTACAACTACTAAAAGTGGGCCTCTTTGGCTGAGTGGTGTCACCCACTAAACGCTCTGACGCGTTGGAGTAGAGGGTTCGAATCCCGTCGTAAGCTTGTAAGTATCTCCATGCTGTCTATTTCTAAACTGCGATTGCACACGCAGGTCATCAGGTCACCAAAGAGGTGCTTACATATGTTTCCCTGACCAGCGCTAATAGTTCATTGTGCTGGTCTAATGACACTCAAATAAAATACTACAACTACTAAAAGTGGGCCTCTTTGGCTGAGTGGTATCACCCACTAAACGCTCTGACGCGTTGGAGTAGAGGGTTCGAATCCCGTCGTAAGCTTGTAAGTATCTCCATGCTGTCTATTTCTAAACTGCGATTGCACACGCAGGTCATCAGGTCACCAAAGAGGTGCTTACATATGTTTCCCTGACCAGCGCTAATAGTTCATTGTGCTGGTCTAATGACACTCAAATAAAATACTACAACTACTAAAAGTGGGCCTCTTTGGCTGAGTGGTATCACCCGCTAAACGTTCTGACGCATTGGAGTAGCGGGTTCGAATCCCGTCGTAAGCTTGTAAGTATCTCCATGCTGTCTATTTCTAAATTGCGATTGCACACGCAGGTCATCAGGTCACCAAAGAGGTGCTTACATATGTTTCCCTGACCAGCGCTAATAGTTCATTGTGCAGGTCTAATGAGACTCAAATAAAATACTACAACTACTAAAAGTGGGCCTCCCTGGCTGAATGGTATCACCCGCTAAACGTTCTGACGCGTTGGAGTAGCGGGTTCGAATCCCGTCGTAAGCTTGTAAGTATCTCCATGCTGTCTATTGCTAAATTGCGATTGCACACGCAGGTCATCAGGTCACCAAAGAGGTGCTTACATATGTTTCCCTGACCAGCGCTAATAGTTGATTGTGCAGGTCTAATGAGACTCAAATAAAATACTACAACTACTAAAAGTGGGCTTCCCTGGCTGAGTGGTATCACCCGCTAAACGTTCTGACGCATTGGAGTAGCGGGTTCGAATCCCACCGTAAGTCTGTAAGTATCTCTATGCTGCCTATTTTTAAATTGCGATTGCACACGCAGGTTATCAGGTCACCAAAGGGAGATATCCCGTCTGCAGAGGATCAAAAGTTTGAAAGCATGTCTTCGGATCATTCTCGGGGATGTTTCCAAGAACGTCACTAATAGCCCATTGAGCAGCTCTAGTGCCACTACTAATACTAAATTGTGCTATGTGTTGCTCTACTTCATAAAAAGCTTATAAGTCACACTTATTTAGGTAGCTACTTTATTTACGTCACACTAGTGCTGCAGAATGGGCAATTAGCAATGGCCTGGGAAACATCCCAGAGCATGATCTGAAAACACGACATCAAAATTTTGATCTTATGTAGAGGGAATCTCATTTGCGATGTCACTTCTTCTATTTACGCATGGATCGAAGGGTAAGGAAATTTTCTTCAGGTCTCTGTACCCATTGTACTGCTCAGTGACTGATCACAGGACTTTCGATTCCACAGATTTTATGAGCACTTATATCATATTTACTGGGTAAGTCTAAGTGGAGTCGATGATCGAACCCCTGCCCCACCAAATCGACGTTCAATTCTCTTACCGCTGGGTTAACGCGGAATCCATACTTATTTAATTGATTGATTGATTGATTTGTTCATTTACGTCGCACTAGAGCTTCACAATGGGCTATTGGCGACGGTCTGGGAAACATCCTTGAGGATGATCCGAAGACATTCCATCACAATTTTGATCCTCTGCAGAGGGGATGGCCCCTCCGCTTCAGTAGCCCAACGACCTGCACGCGAAGTCAAGCACTTTACGGGAGAACAGTTTAACGAGGACCAATACCGCACACCCTCGGTCCCTACGCTGGCTGATCCAAGTGGTCACCCACCCGCACACTGACTGCAGTCAGTGATGCATGACTTCGGTGATCTGCTGGGAACCGTGTCTTAACGATCAGTCCACTGCGGGACACTTATTTAATTGAGCACACAAGTCTGCAAGGATTACAATAAAATAAATAAATTAAAAGCAATACAAAATAGATAATTCAGCAACTGTAAAACATCGTGAATTGTAAACAAAGCGAATTTATTTTTTACAAGTAATCTCAAGCTGAAATTTATCTAACTATATCGGATAATTATATTTATGTTGTCCTCTAAGAGTACGATGTCTGAATAGTTCTTGTGTGAAGTGAAAATTAACTAACGCAGCAATGCTATGCATCACTGTAAAGCTTCTGAAATTATCATTTATCATGCTATTGCTTTAATTTTTCATACGAACATGAATGTAGTGAACTTATTTCGTTTTCAATTTCTTGATGAAAATCAGTGCAGTGTTTTCATTAGTGTGAATTCCTGTAAAATTAACACAATCATTTCAGTGAATATTAGTGTTATTAATTGCTTCTGGTTTTATGGTGTGATCCTAAAGAAATTTTTTTTTTTCAAAATGCGTGATTCTAAAATACTAAACTGGCATATTGTCGGAATATTGTTATGAAGCTATCTTAATTAACTAACTACTTCAAATTGAGTGGAAAACAAAACATTTATCAGTTATTCATTAGGAATGAAATAACTTTCGTGACCTTTCATTGTACTACCTCAGGATAGGATCTGAAGGACTGGTAAGTTGCATTTATGTTTTAATTAATATTTTCTAACTTATAATATTGTAGTTTCAGTGTTGTTTTTATCGAGGAAATCTCTGGTTTCATTTTTAAAAAACCAGATTTTAATAGCATACGTGCACTGATATTGTTTTTAAAATATATGTTTCAATTTAAAGGTATTTTAAATACTGTTTGTAATAAAAAATTACATATATTCGCCATACTTAGGTTTAGCATGCGTTTAAAGTATGCTGCCTATTAATTGTATTATAATGTTAATTTATCCCCTTAAATATGAAAGGTTAGAAACTAGTAAGGCTTTAATCATTAACAATCAATACATACATAGTTGCAGGTATTTTTTAACTATATTTTGTTGAAATTTCTCTGATACATAGTCATTTTAGTATTAATACATTTTTAATCTGCTATAGTATGTTGTGTTTGTTTCCATGTAGATTTGATTCAAGATATTTTATTAAAAAAAAAACTATTTTTTATGTTTATACAAATAACATGTGCAAAAGGAAATCTTCAACAATAACCTTCATTTAATTTCCAGATGAAAATTACTCACGTTAATCAATATCCAACACATCTATTGAAATTTTGTTGAAATCTTATAATGTACAAAATACCTATATCAAAAGGCCCTGTTTCAGTTACAAAACAGCAAAGATTTTCTGAGAATTTATATTTACTTTGAAATAAATCATAATTTCTAGTAGTAGTACTTCCTAGCAAATGTTATTATAAATGTGAAATTACAGAGAAAAAAAATAAACTAACGTTATAATTTTACCGTTTCTAAACCTAGCAAATTAATATTCTTAAGTAAAAGTTTAATTGCCGAAAATATAGTGCATCCAGGGCCCTTTATCCACAAACTTCTTTTTTGAAATTCGTATTTAGATTGCCGTAATAATAATTTAATATATTTCTCGATAAACAAATTTAAAAAAGTTAATTCTGATTATTATTTTAATCATTATATATTATTATAATATTATATATTATTACAATATTATATATTATTATAATATTATATATTATTATAATATTATATGGTATTATAATATTATATATTATATATTATTAATAAATATTATTTATGAATATTAATGAATATTATTCTATATTATTAAAGAATATAATAATATTAGTTTCTGATCATTATTTTAATTACATATGTGAGCATATGTGAGCTGTAATGATTCGAGGTGTCAATGTTGGGGAGCCATCTCCTTCACAGAGGAACAAAAGTGCAATTTTATATCAGTAAATCATCCTCAGGGATGTTTCCAAGATCGTTTCCAATATCCCCTTGAGCAATTCTAGTGCATATTAAATAAAGTTCCACTATTACTTCTTCGTATATTAAAAATGATATCGTGTGATTGTCAAAGGTAGAACGACAGATGTTTAAATGATTTTATTGGCTTCCGGTTCACCGTATAAAATAAACGAAACGCATATAAAATAAACGAAAACGAAAGAATTGAAAGCAAGAAAAAGAGGCTTATACTTATTGTTTTAAAATGTATTGTTGTTTTCAGAACAAAATCCAGCAAAATTTACTTGTTTTACTACAAAATCATTTTTTTTTTATGTTCACTTGAAAAAGCTATAACAATAAATTCAACATACCATGTGGAATGCACGTTAATTGTTTGTAACTTAACAACATCAAACGAAACGCATATAAAATAAACGAAAATGAAAGAATTGAAAGCAAGAAAAAGAGGTTTATACTTATTGTTTTAAAATGTACTCTTGTTTTCAGAACAAAATTCAGCAAATTTTACTTGTTTTACTACAAAATCATTTTTTTTAATGTTCACTTGAAAAAGCTATAACAATAAATTCAATATACCATGTGGAATGCACGTTAATTG